GTTTTGGCTTTTCGTCATTCGGTGCTTTGATGAGACGCTTATTGGAGCAGTTTTCGCGCGCGCGCGTGTGTGTGTGTATGTACTTACGTATGTGTGTGTGCGGTTTTTTGCTGTGGATGTTAACTGTTACCCGGGGATGGGTTGGATGAACTGTGTGTGTGTGTGTGTGCAGCCGTAGTTGAGGACTCGCGGAAGGCGTACCAGGAGGCTTTCGACATCGCCAAGAGCAAAATGCAGCCAACACACCCGATCCGCCTGGGTCTGGCGTTGAACTTCTCCGTATTCTATTACCAGATCCTCAATTCGCCCGACCGTGCCTGCCAGTTGGCGAAACAGGTAACGAGATGTCGCTCTCTCGACATGTGGTTATGCCTTTCGTTTTTTCTTCTCTCTGCGCGCTGATTGTTTTTTTGTGTGTCTCACCCGGCTTTCCTTTCTCTTTTTCTCCCTCTTTCGTTGGCCTTTTTTTCTTCGGTGTTCGTGTGTATGTGTGTGTTGATGCAACGGTGACGGGTAAGGCGCGACGGAGGAGTCGCAGCGGGCGTACCAAGAGGCGTACGAGGCGGCGCGGACCAGGATGCGCCCGACGCACCCGGTGCGCCTAGGCTTGGCGCTCAACTTTTCCGTGTTTTACTACGAGATTGTCATGTCTGCGGACCGGGCGTGCCACTTGGCCAAGCAGGTACGCCACCGACACCCCCTCTGGAGGAGGAAGAGACGTGTTGTACCGCAATGTGCGTGTGTGTGTGTACAGCAGAGGTTTTTTTTATACCGGTGAACATTTGTCCAGGGGACGGGCTTCTGCGGCACCTTCACAATTGCGAGAAAAGGAAATGGTTGAAATTGTGTGAAGCTTTAAAATGCTGTATTGAAGTGAGGTTAGAGGACAAGTACAGTACTGTTTAGTCAAGCCTCGGTGAGCACCGACCATTTCTTTGTGAGGTTTGGTTCATTGAAAAGGCTGAACAATAAAAATTTAGTTTAAAATGAAATGTATATTCGTGTTCTCCCGAAAAACAATCCCAGGGATACGTAAATTAAATCCAGAGAAATTAATGGGAGACTTACGACAGAAACTGGAAGCGTGTTGGTGGGGTGTTGAAAATGAAATTAATCGGCAGGACCAGATGAGAATCGTCAAATATTTTGGCGGATGTCGTTTCACCTGAGATTTCCAATGTAATTATCGTTTTAAAAAATTTTTACTGAACGGGTACTCTAAAATTTTTGAAAAAGTTGACAGATGTTCGAAATGAATTCGGAAGCGAGGGTCCCGCAAATTGACCCGGTTGAGAACCTCTGGTGTACATTGTTTGCGAAGGATGGTCCGGAAATTTTGAGATGCCAACTATTGACATTTTCATGAAAAGCCCCAATTCTTCTTGCATATTCATCTCTTTTGGCAATTAGAAATTTATGACAGTTCGCTCAAGAAAGACGAGATGTTGAGCATAATTTGAAGGAATACTGTAGTTGCCAACTTGATTGAAATCATTATTTTGAAAATTGCATTGCAATTGTATACAAATTAATGGTTGAGCGTGTCTTTCCTGATTGATTGAAGAGGTTGTGTGGAAGCTTCTGGGTTAATTTTAGTACAGTAAATGTTAATTAATTCTGATGAGTCTCAAAATTTGGACAATCCTCGTTATTGAGGAAGAAAGAAAAAAATCGGAACCCTTCCCCACTGCCCTTCGCGCCTCTCGTCTCTCTTACACCGGCATTCACTCCTGGATTTGCTTGACGCGTGTTTTTGCGACGAATGACCTAGTCATTCGTCGCAAAAACACGCGTTGCACTGCATGCGGTTGGTCCCCGTTGAGCCACCACGTATGGCGGCGGTGGTGATTACGTGGCTCTGGGCGCCTTTCTCATGCAAGGGCGCCTTTTCCTCCTCTGGTGAAAGTAGGTGGCTGACCCGGGAAGGGAGGGCCAACGAATGAAGCCCCTGGTGTGAGTTCTCCATGCATGTGTTGGTGGACCATTTCTGTCTCAAGTTGTTCGATCTTCTATGAACTAAGTAAAAAAAATAAAATAAAAAAAAACAGAGAGAAGGAAAATGAAAGGAAATCATTCGTGCCTGAAAGTGTGCTCTTGAGTGAACTTTGTGGAAATTCAGTGAAAATTGTCGTCAGTGCCACTGTGCAGTGTATTAATAACGTGTGTGATGTGCTCTAATTTTCTCATCTCTTGGACCCGGAAGTGGGCTTCTCATGCTGCCCTCAATCAAGAATAATGAAGTTTGCAGATACCAGATTTTTATTCGATATTTTTGCAAATGCAGACATTTACCAAAAAGTTTAGAGTTTCCCGACTTTGTTGTCTACAAGTGCGATCCATTATTTTATAAATAGTAATGAGTAAATGTCACTGCCAGTCACGATGAAAATTTAACTTTACCCTTTGCTAATAAAAAATATAGATTTTGTATGTTCATTTACGTTTTTTGGATAATGATAGAAGATTATTTCGTCAGAAATCTTAGTTTTTGGAGTTTTGATGTCGTCGGCTGCTGGCTGGAAAATCTTTACAGTAAAACTCCCTTGACTAAATAAGTTTCTTTAATTATGAACCTTTCAGGGAAAAATCTAAAAGAAGTGACGAGGGGGAATTTCCTCATGTGCACGTTTTTTTTATTTTATTTATTTATTTATTAAACTCCGTGTGCATCTGTGGTTTTCATAATGAAGGGTTGGCAAATACTGAACTGCCCTAAATGCGCGTTTGTGCCGAAAAAACCTCGAGGGGTCATTTGCTTTTGGAGCATTAGCATCAGTTTCGCAAGTGCTCGTGTACAAATTTTCTGTGAACGAAGATGTCGCAACTCAAAATTTATCAATGAAAGAAAATAATCGGCAGCAGCGTCATCTAGTGTCAGCGTACAGCAACGTCATTCTTTTCTCATTATCGCGTGACACTAGTGGTGCTGCTGCTCTTGCTGTGGTCGCTTCCTTGGACGATGGTGGTGATGATGATGAGGGGTGGTGATGATCGGCACTGCATGCTGTTGGTCCCCGTTGAGCCACCACGTATGGCGGCGGTGGTGATTACGTGGCTCTGGGCGCCTTTCTCATGCAAGGGCGCCTTTTCCTCCTCTGGTGAAAGTAGGTGGCTGACCCAGGAAGGGAGGGCCGACGAATGAAGCCCCTCGTGTGAGTTCTCCATGCATGTGTTGGTGGACCATTTCTGTCTCAAGTAGTTCGATCTTCTATGAACTAAGTAAAAAAAAAAAATTAAAAAACAGAGAGAAGGAAGATGAAAGGAAATCATTCGTGTCTGAAAGTGTGCTCTTGAGTGAACTTTGTGGAAATTCAGTGAAAATTGTCGTCAATGCCACTGTGCAGTGTATTAATAACGTGTGTGATGTGCTCTAATTTTCTCATCTCTTGGACCCGGGAGTGGGCTTCTCATGCTGCCCTCAATCAAGAATAATGAAGTTTGCAGATACCAGATTTTTATTCGATATTTTTGCAAATGCAGACATTTACCAAAAAGTTTAGAGTTTCCCGACTTTGTTGTCTACA